TTGTCAAGGAAGGATGAATATCTGGTATTAGATTTTCTTCCCACAAGTTTATATGCTCCTTGATTAAAGAACGACATGACAAAATTCTTACTGAATTTAAAACTTCTCTTAAACTTACAAGAAATCTTCCCCCACTCATTTGCCTGTATTGTGAGAAACGTCTCTCAATTGGATCATTTTGTAAACGAGCTGTCATTACGTAATCACATCCATCATTCAGGAGCTATATATATATATATATATATATATATATATATATATATATATATATATATATATATATATATATATATATATATATATATATATATATATATATATATATATATATATATATATATATATCTATATATATATATAGATAGATATATATATATATAGATATATATATATATATATATATATATATATATATATATATATATATATATATATATATATATATATATATATATATATATATATATATATATATATATATATATATATATATATATGTATATATATAATGTATATACACATGTATGTATATATATATACATACATGTGTATATATATTGTATATATACATATATTTATATATATGTATATATATATAAATATATGTATATTTATAATATATATACATATGTATGTATATATATTTTTATATCTGGAACTTTTGACTAACTGATTACTATTAAAATTCTCTGGTTAAGTCGAACATCGGATAACTCGAACATTTGTTAAGTCGAACCATTTTATTGTCCCCTTTCGGCAAATTTCTTCGGACTTTTTGTTTGGGAAATAATTAAATCAAAATAACTAATAACTTGATTTTTTTTAAAAGTCATTCCATATAAAATATAAAAAACTTTAAGGAAGACATTGTGCATTTTTTTGCTAAACTTTTTTGAATGTTATCTTTCAAGTGTACAGCGTGAATACTTGCTTTTTAAACTCAAAGTTTGTAACACGGCGACAATTGCAACTAAGCAAAAGTTGAATACAAAAACTGTTAAAGTCAAATACAACGCACTGAAGGAAGTTTTAGATGGCATCTCAAAGTCGAAGGTCGGTTTAAAATATAATAGACCAAAGAACACCTTTTGACATCATTTAAAACAGTTTCTGGTGAAGCTAATGCGTGTACAAGTGAAATGGTAGCACCATGGGAGGAAACCACATTACTAACCATTTTATCAAAATATAAGTTGAACCAGATTTATAATTTGGTTCAACTTACATTTTATCAAAATATAAGTTGAACCAGATATATATTTGGCTTGTTTTATCGGCTCCAACCAAATAATTTTTACATTTTAAAAATGAAAAATGCGTCGGTGGGAAACACAGCAAACTACGTCTTAGATGATTGGCATACACTAATGAATTAGGGAAAAAATTGCCAATGTTTTTTATTGACAAGGCTAAATCGCCCAGGTGCTTTAAAAATGTAAAGCGTTTGCACTGCCGTTATCAAAGTCAGAAGAAAAATTGGATGGATGGCACACAATTCAAGGAATGGGTTTGTTAAATTGATTGGCAATTTACGAAGGAAGGACTAAAAATTGTTTTATTAGTTGATAATTGTCCAGCTCATCCAATCATTGATAATCTCAAATCAATAGAACTAATCCTTTTCCCCACAAAACACTACCTCGAAGCTCCAGCCGTTGGAGCAGGGCGTGATTAGGTCACTTAAAGCACATTATAGAAGACTATCTGTTCAAAAATTAATAGATGCAATAGATAAAAAAAAAGCCTCTTCCGGAATTTACTATAATGGATGCCATGCAAATGCTTGATGTTGCTTGGAAGAAGGTGAAGACCGAAACTATTTGTAATTGTTTTGCTAAAGCTGGAATTTCAGAGAAAATGTGTTTTGACACCTCTGTAGATGTGGATGATCCCTTTGAGGATCTTAAAGACCAGTTAGAAAAGCTTACTGTTCATACATCCGAGTTTTTGCCTTAAGGAACAACAGCAAAATATGTTCTACCCATGGATGATTTTGTCAACACTGCTAAAGCGATAATGAATGATGAGGAGATTATATCAGACGTTTTAGGAGAAGAAAATTTTGAGGCTGAAAAAGATGAAGATAGTGATGTAGATTTTGATCGAACCAACTTGCCCTCAATGAGGTGATGCACGTCAAGCCCTGGAAGTACTACGAAGCTACATGATATTCAGTGACATAAATGTATAACCAAATAAACTTAATTGTGGAAAAAGAATGATTAGACAAGCTAATACAAGCTCCTTTCGCTGAACTTTTTTCACACTTTTTATTACTAAAATAGTGTATATTTAATGTTTATAATTTAGCATTGAATAAACAAAAATTGCCTTAACTTGAACTAATATCTCATTTCTGTCAAAGTTCGACTTAACGGGACTTCGCTTAAGTCGAAAATTCGTCGAATCATTTTCCTTGGCCCCTTGGAGGTTCGACTTATCGGGAACTAACTGTATTTTATAAATCTCTTATAAGATCCTATAAGGACTGGTGAGAAATGGACAGAGTTATATTCCGTATAAGGACTGGTGAGAAGTGGACAGAGTTATTTAGATCATTAATATAAATCAAAAACAATAAAGGGCCAAGAACAGAACCCTGGGGAACACCACAAACTATATATTTGTGGTGATTTATAAACATTAATGCTAACAAACTAGTTTTGATTTGAAAGATAAGATTGAAACCAATTACAAGCAACTCCTCGGATTCCGTAATGTTCAAGTTTAGAAATTAAAATGGCATGATTAACGGTATCGAACGCTTTTTGTAAGTTGATAAAAACATTACCCACGAAATGACCAGTATCCAGTGCTTTTTTTTTTTTCGGTTGTACTTATTAAATTGTGGCAAATAGAATGTTTTGATCGAAATCCAAACTGAAATTCATTTAAACATTTAAAGGAACTCAAAAATGAGTATAATCTAGAATACATTAGTTTTTCAAGGAGCTTGCTAATGTTAGATAGAATTGAAATTGGTCAATAGTTATTACATGAGTGCTTTAAGCCATTTTTATATACTGGAATGACAATGTCAGGAAAAATTCCATTTAAAAAAGAGATATTAAATAGCTTAGAGAGAATACGAGAAAATTCAGAATTAAAATTAATAAGAATGTTTGTGGGGATGCTGTTAGGTCCGATTGATTTTCTAGGTTTTAATTTATATATAAGTGATGACATTTTAGAATAGTTTGTTGGAGATATTAGTAAAATATAAAAATTTAGATGTTTAAAATTTTATTTTTATAGCTAATGGGTGAATTTTAGAATTAAGTTTATGAGCTAAATTTGTGAAAAAGTTGTTCGCAGATTTGAGTTGGTTCAGTTATGTATGTTTCGTTAACTTGTAAGTAATTTGGAGGTACATTATTGACATTTTTTACATTTATTAGACTTTTTTATACCTTCCTTTTATGTCTCACGAAGTCATTTATTAGACTTTTTTGAAATGTCCTTTTTTACTCAGTTTTATTAGATTAATTATGGTATATTTATGGGGTTTAAAGTTAGTTTAATTATATTTGTTGGGCCTTTTATCCTTAACATTTTCCCTTGAATAAGATTTTGAATTTGAATTGATTTTATTATTCCTTTAGTAATCCATGGCTTGAATTGACGCTTGTAGCTCTTAATACTAATTTTTTTGAGTAGCACATTTCCTGAAATAATTTGGTTAGTGGTTAGATTTGAAAAGATATTGTCAATGATTGTAGCAGAATGGTCAGTAACTCTCGTTGGTAGCGTAATAAGTGGGCGAATATTATAAGAAGTAAGTAAGTTTAAAAACTCAGAAGTTGTAAAGCTAGAATTCGATTGTATCAAAACCATGTTAAAATTGCCAAGTAGAAAGACAGATTTATTTTCAGTAGATATTTTTTGGAGAAGGACATACATCTTATTATAAAAGTCGTTTACATTCATGCTCGGGTGTCTATATATGCAACCAACAATAACATTTGATTTTTTTAGAAAAATTATTTCAACAAAAGTAGATTCTAAATAGTTTGGTGTGTATATGATTAAATCATCTCTTCTTTTACAAATCAGTTTTTTTCATGAATGTAACAAAGTTCCACCACAAGAAGAATCGGTTGGTGTGTGTTCAAAATTATAATTTTAAATAATTGGATGTGTGAAAGGAGATTCTTTTTTTAATCTTGTTTCTGTAATTCCAATAATTCAAAACTAATTAATGATTAGAATATGTTCAGGTCTTCAAAGTGCTTTTGTAAAGAGGCTATGTTTAAATGGAAAAATGATATAGAGTTTGCAATGTCAAAGTTATAAGAATAAAATTTACTAATGTCATAATATTGATAATCTACATCAAAAGTTGAACAGTTTTCCTCATCAGAGAATGAAGCATGTGATGTAATAAATTTATTAAATTGAGTATAGATTTTATTCAATCCCGATGCTGGAAAGAGTTTAGTTGATAAAGGCAAGTCATCAGTTATAATAATTTAAGAGAAGTTTAAAATCATTATCAGATACATCAGTCAATGGAAAGACACCTTTGGTTTAATTTACACACAGCCATATTGAGCGTTTTGAATGTGTTAAATTGTACCCATGATCATAAAGCCCGCTACATTTTGAATTAGTCCAAAACAAATATACAAGACATTGAGTTGCACGGCAATTACACTAATTTTTTTTGTATATGCAGTGCATACTCCCCGAAAATTAGAGGTCATAGTAAAACTAATGAGAAAGATAAAAGAAAATTTTCAAAATTGCAAAAGAAGAAAATTTGCAAAATTTAGAAGAAAGCTTGAAGTTGTTAAGTTTTAAAGGAAAAGAAAAGAAAATAATAATGAAAATAACAATAAAAAATAATAATGATACAATATTATAAATAATAACTATAATAGCAACAATTATATTAGTAGTAGTAATAATAATATTTGCCGAAAATTAAGCAGAATTAATGAACAAACAAATATAATAAACCATAGAATAATAAGTAATATAATATCACTAACCAAAAATAAGAATAACTATAAACTAATTATAAATTAAACAGAAAATTGAATTAAAATTGTATCTAAAATTATAAATAAAAACAGAAATAACATAAAATAAAAATAAATAAAAGTAAAAAAAATATCTTAATAACTAAGTTAAAGATAGTAGTAATATGTTTAGCAATAATATATTTATAATGATGTTTAATAGAAATAAAATAATACAATAAAATAAGATACAACAAAATCAAGTCAAATAAAAATTATAATTAAGCAAATTTTTTTTTTTCTTTTTTAATAGATACTTTTTACTTCTCTTTTTTTCTTTTTTTACTTTTTGTTCTTTATGATTTTTATTGATTCAATTTTTGTAAGTTGGTTCAATTTTTTTTCCAACTTGAAATTCTTTTGTTAACTAGTAAACGTTTTTTTCTATATTTTCAAGTTTCTTTATCAAAAGTTGTATTTAAATTGAGTATTAATTTAAAAGTACTTTTTCCTTTTCCTTTTTTTTTTCTTTTTTCCAATTTATTTCCTGTTTGTTCATCAAATTATTTACATGTTGTTTTTTTTTATAAGCATATAAAATTTTTGAAACAGGCTCGGGTATGCTTAAGCAAAAAGTTAGAGGCTCAAAAATATGCTTAAACTTAAGCATATTTATAATAAAATATGCTTATTTCAATACTTTCTAAAAATGCGTGCCTTACTAAAGGTTAATGGTTATAAGAAAAATAAAAAGTCGACTTTTGTACAGTATAATAAAAAATATATACTATATACAAATGTTATCAATGAAATAATAAAATAAATAACATTTGAAATAAATGAAATAATAAAATTAATAAAATTTTTTAAATGGTTTATCGAGGCTCAGGAATATGCTTACATGTGCTTATTTTTTTTTCCAAATCTAAGCCTCCATATGCTTATAAACGTTATGCTTATAAAAAAAAAAAAACATGTATTTACTTTATTCAGTTTAGATTAAATGTCTTTTCTTTTTCCTATTTATTTTTACTGATCCGTTAAAAAAACACATCCGCCATCCCTGGAAACGTTGCATGGATAGCGAGATTGATAAGAAATGAGCCATAAATTTTCTGGTTAAATATTCTTCCGCAGTGCTCTGTAATAAAATAGTTAGGTCTTCTTGGAGCACCTTAAATAATTAAAGAAAGAAAAAAATTACGACGGAATTGATAATTCGCATTTCCGAAAACGACTTTTGCAACAAGTTCTAAATTTTAGCTGATGCTATAATTAGTTCAAGTACTTTATGTTCACTTTAGAAATCTTGCAACCTCCTTTTGCTAGCATAATACACCAATGCATAAACACTAGTCCATAAACCTTGTGCTTGTCGCATAAATGAACCAAAGTACTAGCAAGTATAAATTCTAGTATTTTAAAAAATCAGGATTTATTTTAACTCTTTCCATAGTCAAGATTGACAGAAAAATTATGAAATTGTTCAACTCTATCGACGGTCAAAGTATCATTTAAAAAAGCAAAAAAACTCCTTTGTAAAATGTTCAATTAGACATACAATTTAAAAAAAAAAAATAATAACAACAAAAAACTTTTTTAAACTTATTCGTATGAATTTAGGAGGATTTTCTCAGATATTAGTGGGGCTTCCGTCTACGGGCTTTTAAAATAAGTTCGATGCCAGTTATTGCATAAGTTTATTGCAAAAAGTAAGCATATGTTTGGTATCATACTTTTTGGTTTTTTACATGATAATGTGGATAACTAATTTCATTTCAAAAGCTAAAGCAGAAAAAAATTTCGATTACTTATTTTCTACTAAAATGCAATATAATTATTACTTATTTTTAGAATTGTAATAAAACTGGTTTTAATCTAAAAACTGGTTTTAATCTGCACCAAGTGCCTCTTCAAAGGATTTTATTATTTAAAATGTTTTCGTTGGTACATTGCGACTTTCGTTGGTACATTGCGACTTTTCGTTGGTACATTGCGACTTTCGTTGGTACATTGCGACTTTTCGTTGTTATTGCTGTACGGTTTACGACTAAGTTTACACAGTTTACTATTTTTTAGAATTAGTCACTTTGCCACGTTTTTATATTTAAGAAAACGAAAATTAAAAATTTTTTCTTTCGGTATTTGAGCACCTGCGATAATATTAAGTATATTGATTCAGATATTTTTATTGATTTGTTTTATCACTTTAACGAGATTTAAATTTTAAATAAAAAATCACTTAAGTCATGAAACCATCAATTTTAAGCAAATAAATTAGAAATAGAGACGATGATTATGGTCATCGAAGTAATTCCACATTGAACATTTCAAACACTTAACATACGTCAAAAAACTAAACTTACAAGTCCTAGTACTTGATTCTAATGAAGTATCGTTGCATTTTTCAAATTATTTTTAAGGATTAATTAAAGATGCCATTTGTTATAGAAAATATAGCAGTCAATTGAAAATAAATTTTTTTTTATCCCACCGATTCATATCAGTCATGTTTTTCTGGTGGCTTTCAAATAACAGAAATAAAAAAAAACTTATGTTGCGTATATGTAGCTGTTTGGAATTATGCAGGTAAAAAATAAGCTATTTGGTTTGCAATCAATAGACATAAGGGTGTTTTAGATCTAAAACAACACATATATTCTATAGAATATATGTGAAAATTGTGTGCATGTGACTTATATATGTAAACTTTTAAACTTTATATTGATATTGTATGTTGTAATTGTAAAATCATTGATTAGATTAGCGGAACTGCAGGCAAATAATTTAATAACATCAAAAACCTGACAATTCTACTTTCCCTATAAAAAATTTTTACCAGCATGCAAAAAATAATTTCTAGTAAGGAACAACCATAAACCTGAAATAGCAAAAAATTGAATATAAAAATTAGATACTTTTAAAATTTCCATCAAAATATTATTAAGAATAATCTTAGCTAAAATTCGGATTAAGAAAAAAAAAGAAAATTTTTTTGAAGATTAAAAAAAAAATTCTTAAGTAAAATTTTGTTATGTAACTTTTCGCTCATGAATACATTAATTAATTACTCTTAAGAATGTCTAGTGTATTCGTAGTATTGACTGTATTAGTCTCCGTAATATTCACACTTTAACGTTTAATTTTTTACAGATTTGTTGAGGAGATATGCGTTTATTGAGGACATCTTCTCTTATCTCCTTATTGTTTTTTAAGTGAAAATGCAAAGTTCGTATAGCTTTTCTATAATCTGACTGCAATGATCGTCCGGTCGTTAAGTACACAGTACCTTCAATAACATCGACGAGCGAGTTATTAAGCTAAAATAAAAAAAAATTAATATCGATACAAAAACAATTATCTATCGATATAAAAACAAGACCATTACTGGGCGATTAACTACACAAGAATAAAAAACTTTTACTGTTAAACCAACACTAATATAATAATCTGACATATAGACACAATAAAAATTACAAATATCGACTCATAGTTTATTTGCAAAATAATCTATTTTTATTTTTAACAATAAATAATTTCACTGGGTGATAACTTGCATGCTCGAACATTATTATTAACAGGTAGAAATTTTCAAGTTGGAATCTTTACTAGTACCAGAGTAAACATTCAATAACAAGGAGTTCAATATTGGTAAATAGCTCAAGCGATATCACTTTACGCCTCACTAACAACCCTTTTTCAACCCTACACTTCAAAGCGCAACTGTTAACAAACAGGCCCAATGTGTAGAAAAATAAGTTGAGAGCGTTATAAACAGAAGCACGTCCTAGTTTAAAACGCGCTACAGTGGGCCAGAATTCACTTTTACTGGACAAAACTAATAACTCGTCATATAAAAAAAAATTTAAAAACCATTTTTGCACCGTTCACTAATTCGAGGATTGCGGTTTTAATGGTGACATTAAGGTGAGTTTCCACTCATCCGTTTTTTCACGGGAACGGGATAGGAAAGGGAAAAATAATCACGTGAGCATGCGTAGTTTTCCTTCAGACATATTAAAACTTATACTACGCATGCCCACGTGATTATTTTTCCCGTCCCTTTTCCGTTCCCGTGAAAAAAACGGATGAGTGGAAACTCACCTTTAGTATTAATTTTGGGTTGCTACGGATACCTAAATTGTTTAGCAACAATATTTCATTAACCTAAACAAATATAAATGGAAAAAATAAAACTGGAAAAAATTATAACTTAATTGGATTCTTCCATACTTACCACATTAAGTGTTTTTATACTACAAATACAAATGCAAAACTATCGAGTTTTTATTTGGTTGATAGTGACAACTAAAATGCCTGGCAACGGTTCATTTTGCATAGTTACTAGTTTAAGTAACTTTTCTAAAAGCATCAATGTTATAAACTAGACTAATATTAATTTGGCCGTCTGATTAAAAATTACTTTGTGCATTTAAAAAATTTTAACACATTTTTAGTTACTAATTTTAAGTATTTTTATAAAGTTACAGTTATTTTATATTTCATGAAACTTCTACATAATTCATATAAAAACCTAAATATAATAGTATATAATAGTATAAAAACTTTGATTTAAAATTATTTTTTGAACCAAAACTCATATATTCTGATAATTCTAAAACAGCTTTAATTTCTTTTTCTTTACTATCTTGGCGCAAACTACAACCTGATGCAAACAATAGTTCTTAAGATGAACATGATGCAACTAATAGCGTCAATCTTCTTTTCATTGGTTTTACTACTTTAAGTATCAAAATTCACCTGGAGCCTGCCAGATACTACAGTTGGATGGGACCAGAGTTTTCTTTATTAGCAGTTAGTAGAATTTTCTAATTATCAATTTCAAATTGAACTGATATTGGTTCATTTTGTAGCCATTGTTTGTTATTCTCTTCAAAACGAATTTTAGAGTTTTTGCATATATACTTTTGCTTAAGATGTTTTATAAGCAGGGTTGCATGGTTTTAACCAAGTGGTTTAAAACGTTGGTTTAAACCATGGTTTAAACCAGTTAAAAGAATGTTGGTTTAAACCAAACTAATGTTTTTTTAAAAAGATTTGAACTTACAACAGGAAACTAAAACAGGGTTATGTTCACAAAACTAACTAATCTTCAATATAGATATATTTTTTAAATCCATGATTTTTGTTTTTGTTTTTTCATAGAATAGAGTCATCAGTGTTCTTATAGAATAGAGCAGTAATAAATTAGTAATAACACTTATTTATCTGTTTTCTCTTACAGGCTGTTTCTCCTTCAATAGGTTTATCAAGAAGTATTGCTTCCTGATGAACTTATTTCTTCAGGAAGTTTTCTTAAGGATATATATATATATATATATATATATATATATATATATATATATATATATATATATATATATATATATATATATATATATATATATATACGTTTTGCCTTTCGAAAAGCCAAAATACCAGAGATTGCAAGTGCAATAGAGTTAATTGAATGTTGGTCTGTTTTTGAAAATAATGGTATCAGACCCTACAATCACTCAGCCTAGATCAAACTTGTTTGATAAACATTCTTTAGAAGCAAAAAGCAATCAAAAATGGAAGATTTTTTCCCCCAAAATTGTAAAGATTTATTTTTAAATTTAAAATTTTAAATTTGTTTTTTTAGAAGGTAAAGACTTAAAAAATATCTTATTCCAAAGTTTTTCTTCTTTTTTACCCTCTTCTTCTGTTAAAATTTGATAGTAACTTGAAATAGGTCACTTTAAAGAAGATTTTCAGTTATTTGAACTTTCGGTTATCAAAAGTAAATTCTTGTCCTTTGGAGGTTCAAATAACCAGGAGTTTACTGAATATCTTGAGAAAGTCCAGTTTAAATCCGAATTTGTATCAACATTTGTTTAAAATAGTAGTATTTTCACAAAAAATTTAATAACTCTTAGAGTAAAATAATTAATGCAAATCTTATCGATCATCCAGAGTATAATATAATGAATTACATATGTATATCTAAATTTAAAGAACTAAAAAATAAATATATAAATCTAAATTTAAAAGTTTTCCAAAGAAAAAATAGTACTATAACAATTTTTTAGCTTATTTATCTGTCTGAATAATGTTTATGACTTCAAAATATGATATTTAGACCGCTGAAGACATCATTGTGAATGTTCAGAGTAAAATATAAAAGCACATATGAGAGAAAAATAGAGAATAAACTTTAGTTTATGGTAACTTGGGACATTGCTATGGACTATGGTTGCTACCTAAGATTTTTAAGGTCTAAATATGAACTAAAAAATATTTTTTATCCTTTTCAACATTTGTTGCATGAAAAGAGACATATCAAAGGAAGAAACTCCACCAAAAAAAAAAAAATTCAATTTTTTTTTTTAAGATCATTATTTATATCCCAACTACTGTAATGAAAAATTCAATTGTGCTTTAAAGTATAGCAGTTGCGCGTGAGGTTAATATGCAGTTGCGTGTAAGGTTAATATGCATAAAGCTTTAAAGTATAGCAGTTGCGTGTGAGGTTAATATGCATAAAGCTTTAAAGTATAGCAATTGCGTGTGAAGTTAATATGCATAAAGCTTTAAAGTATAGCAGTTGCGCGTGAGGTATGCATATGCATAAAGCTTAAATTTAATGTAACTAATTAATTACTTATTTAATTGTTAACTTTAAATTTTAATTTATTAAATAAGTATTCAAAAAGTTGTTGATTGTTTTTTACTACTGTTCCAAAATTTATTGATTTTCAGCAACTTTTCCATGTTATCATGCAATTCAAAAAGTGTAAAAATCATCAACCTTTAAAGAATCTCGTCAATTTTGATTTGTCAAAATTTAGGTTTTTTTTTTTTCTCACCATAGTATAAAACTTATGTAAGCATATCTAATTCTATTGAACTCTATTGTAACAGTAGTTAAAAAGTGCACATTTCATTGCAAGCCACACTAGAATTAAACTATTTATTTGTGTTCTATAAAAATTTTCCCCAGCCATTTTTATTAGATACCCCATTTATTAAGTTGGGACTAAATCTCGCCTCCTCCTTCTTGTACTAAGTACTTGAGAGTAATAATATTAACTATTATTATTTTTATAATGCACTTAATTTAATCATGATTTATTTGTTTAATAAATAAAAATAATAAAAAAAGTATATCATTGTAACAACAATTGATATGATTGGTTTATTGCCTGCAGCTGGACTGCTTGTAAAAATGATCCAAATATTTTTCAAACTGTTACCAAGGCATTTTTGCTACCACCAGAAGTAGAATCTATTGGTGTTTTATCAAAAAAAATTTATCAAACTTGAGTGGGAAAGATCAACATTGGCTTAAAAATGAAACATGGAAAGATCAATACAATAAATAATTGTGATTGTTTTTTTTCTTTCAGTGCTTGTTAAGCCACTGACACTGTGTTTTCTCTTAATAGCAACAACTTTTTTGGTCTGAATATTTTGAGCAACCATTAAATAAAACTACTTTTACGGCTAGTTAATAATCCATTTAAGTATTTGCCGTATTTTACATGTTTTAAGAAAATTATAGTATGATCACGAACATAATATTTATTTATATAAATATAATTTTTAATTTTGCCAACGAGTACCAATCGATGGTATCATACTGAAAGAAATGCACTAAAATTTGCAGAAGCATTTGGAGAGTTGGAGTTTAATGCATCTCATTGATGGTTTCATAATTGAAAAAAAGGGTCAGTTCTGTTATGTCAAATTTTGTTAATTTAAATATAAACAGATACACATGCACCAGCAATAAATTTTTCAAATGTGTGATTCAAGTTAAAATTCAATTATTCTATAATTATCCCTATATTTAGAAACAACATCAGCTTTAAAAAACTCAGGAGAAAGTGCCTCTGTCATGAATGATGACAACTTCGTGGAATGAAATTATACTCCCAACATAGCTTTTAAATTACAAACTTGAAAACATATTTAATACTGATGAGTTTAGGTATTTTACTAGTCCCTGCCAAACAAATGGCCTATCCACACATTGAATGGCTAAGCAAGATCACCCTAATATTTCTTTCAGGGGAAGAATACATTTTTCTTTGTGGGAAAAATGTGTTCTTCCCCTAAATAAATCCTTGATAAAAATTTCTATCCTTCAATGTATAAAAGATCTTATTTCATCTTGGAATGCTGTGTCAAAGCTGACTGATCAATTGTTTTGATTTTCTGGTATCAGTAAAACAAACCAGCAGATGGCAGAATCTGATATCTTCATCATCCTCTACCATCTGCTGAATTGTTTGATCAGTTAGAATCTTTGATACAAGAGCTTGACTGTTGGCAAATTAGATTCTCCTTTTGCCTAAGAAAAGCTCTCCATAGAATCTTACATCAGCTTAGATTTTGATGTAATAAACTCCTGCTCACCAGCTACTGATGCTGAAATTGTTTTTTACAAAATTAGGATCTAATTTTGAAAACATTGATGATGAAATTAAAGATAGCATTGACAAAGGTATAAACATTGACAGGGGCGGATCCAGCATTTTTTCGTGTTTGAGATAGCTAACTTCCAGACATGTAGCTAACTCCAAACATCTATATGTTTATACTTATGTCAAATAAGGATGGTTTGCAAAAAATTGCGATGATTGGAGCCTGGGAACAAAAAAGCCCCAAAAATTGTGACATACCTTCCCCAAACGTGAGAGCAACAAGTTGATAAAATATTTTTTGTACTATTCTCAACAAGACTTATATTTATCAATAAATTTTAAATTTCATTGTAAAATATTTCAGCGTTCAAAAATTATGATCATGTAAAGTTTGAATCCCCCTCAATTTGAGGGGGTTACAATTTTTATATGGTCATAATTTTTGAGCGCTAAAATATTTTACTATGAAATTTAAAATTTATTGATAAATATAAGTTTTGTTGAGAATAGTACAAAAAATATTTTATCAACTTGTTACTCTCACGTTTGGGGCAGGTACGTCTCAAATTTTGGGGCTTTTTTGTTCCCAGGCTCCAATCATCGCAATTTTTTGCAAACCATCCTTATTTGACATAAGTATAAACATATAGATGTTTGGAGTTAGCTACATGTCTGGAAGTTAGCTATCTCAAACACCAAAAAATGCTGGATCCACCCCTAATTGAAGCTGCCCTACGCTTATCTGATGTTCAATTAGAAGATGCTTTAGAAACGCTTCAAAATGCTTTGCTATACAACCCAAAATATTGGATTGAAATAAAATCCCTAGCACTGAAACTTGAGGATTTAAAGAAAGCGGAAAAGATAATTTGAAGCAATGCCGGGTTGCAGATTTTTTCCAAAAAATGTAGCTTTTATTGTTAGTAATATTTGTCAGATAGAAAATGTTTTTTTTGTAAAAGGCAATATCTCAAAGGCAACCTCTATACTTTAAGTACTATTAATATAAATGGAAGTACTATTAATGGATGAAGTATATGTTTTTTATGTACTAATAATGAATGCAGTATATGTGCTTTGAGAAGAAAGAAATTGGAGTCTAATAGCTGGCATCTTTTTATATTTTTTATAAAAAGATGCCAGCTTTACTATCTAATTGAACAATAAATGATATCAATATATAAAACAATAAATGATATCAATATATCGAACAATAAATCTGTCTTGATATCATCTGTCAAATATATCACTTTGGCTGCCAATTAGGAAATCATGGAACCAGATTTTGACCCAAACCGTATCTAACCTGTGTAGATAGGTTTAGATTCAACTTTTCCGTACCCCGTATTAAAATGAGGTATGGATGTTATTCATCCGTTTAGAAACAGATCCTTCGAAACAGAAACAGATCCTTCGAAACAGAAACAGATCCTTCGAAATTGGTTAAATGCATAATAAAATACACACAAAAAAAAAAAAATCTTAGTTTTTTTTCTGTAAAAGTTTTTTTCTAATTTTGTTTAAATAAAATTGTTTCTAATTTTAGTAATACCAAGTACAGACTCAGAAAACTACCCTATAACAGCCCTGTAACAAGTTCACTCCAAATGTTCACTGCAAAAGTGTAAGTGCAAACCTTTATTTTATAGAGTTAAACAAAATTTATTCAATAAATGTGAATAATTGTAATAAATAATGATATGAATTATTTGCCAAAAAACAAATTAAAATAATTTAGAATTTTTAATGATTTCTAAATGGAATATAGCAATTAATATAACAAAACCTCAAACCAAAGTTGATTGTATGTGGATGTTAAACAAAGTTGATTGTTTGTGGATGTTAAACAAAGTTGGTTGCTTGTACATGTTTAACAAAGTTGTGAATGTTTAACAAGTGATTTTAAATATAAATTTAATCTAAAAAGTTTTCATATAGCTTGAACTTCAATTTATTAAAATAATAAATTTTATAAATTAAGTTTTATATTTATTTTAAATTTTTATTACAATTAACTTTTATACCTCTGTTTTTAAGCCAGACGCTATCAAACTTTTTGCTTTAGCACGAAACAAAAATGTTTTCTTATCACTCTTAACTTCAATAGGCTGTCGAGCATTAATGTTTTTATAAAATTGCTTCCATTTTTGTAATACTTTCTGCGCCAACTGTTGAACTTCTTCAGCTTCATGTTTTCTTAGCTTATTGATTACATGTCCTAACTTTGTTTCAAGTAAAACCTCTTTTGATGGAATACGATTTTCAAGGTTCGTAAGACAGGATACTAATTGATCAATAGTTTGTTCAGGCATCGAAAGTATATTTTTAACATGTATCATTTCTTCTACCACTACAACGCGCTAAATAGAACATTTTTGCAGTGCTATAAACACAAAAGAAAAACATCATCAAATAAAAGCAAATTAGATATGGAAATACCTACAATAGTCTAAATAAAAATTTTTATGTGATTTAAAAACACAATGGAAAATAATCAAAAAGAAAAAATCAAAAAATTTATTATTAGAATTACTAAACTAATACCTTCAGAGATTCAATAGTTGTTTGTCGAAATTTTGGAGTAACCTTTTTTATGACAGGTGTCTGACCTTCTGATGGATCTCGTGGTATCTTTATCACATATTTATCCATTTTATATATTTATAACTGAAAAAATATAAATCTAAAACAGCTTAGCTAAATGAACAAAAATAAAATTAATAGAGTTTAAAATAAATTTTGCATAAGTGCATTTTGTATAAATGATATGGTGATAATTTTAAATAAGTTATGATGTTGAACAACTATAGGTAATTAAAAATTGCATAAATCTGCTTGAGAAAAAAATACAGAATAGTTTGCAGCTTTTTATAAAAATTAGAAACAGTAAAAAGTCAATTTGGTTAATTTTATTTTTAATTCAATCACTATACTAAATGTTTATAATTAATTAAGTTTTTATACTTTGTAAAAAAAAAAATCAAGAAAAATAAGTAAAAAAAAAATAAAAATACAATTAATGTTAATTTTGAAATTTAATCAATAATTACAAATAAATATGGCATAAAAATAATCTTTTTAAATAATTTATTTTGCACTAGTAAAATATAAATGAGTATAATTAACAAACAGTTTGGAAAAGAACAGCTGTGAAAACAAATTTAAAGAGACAACTAACTTGTCTCAGCAGATGATGCAAGCTTGGCAACAAGTTCACTCTCATAAATACGATTTTTTTCTTTCTCTCTTGCCGCATCTAAATCATTTTGTTCCTTCTGATATTGCAGTTTTTGAGCTCTCACTTTGGTTTTTTGTATCCTATCTAACAACACGCTGCTTTCTTTTTTTATAAACACCAACTTTTTCTGGTATTCTTTAACTTTTTCAAAGGTTTCAGCAACTTCTTTTAACATTACACATTCTTCTAACTGTGTAAATTCTTGCTCAATACTGTCACATAAAACCCCTTGATTACGAATGATCTCTAAAATATGTTTATGCACATTACGTACTTCCGGCTCATAAACTTCACGTATACCTTTATTCAAAAGTTTGGTAGAGTCATTAGATATTATTGTTTTGATAGGAATTCCAACTTCCTTGCTCATCTGCAGATTATAGACTCCTGATTCCTCAGACATGCTTATTTCTTAAGCATGCAAATGTATTATATCACTTTCACTATAATTTAAAAAAAGAAAACTATTTATCATTAGAACAATTTATCTAAATAAAATATATATTCAAAAATAAACAGAATTTTATGAAAAATCTTTTGAATTCTTCTGTTGAAGAAATGAATTCTTCTGATGAAGAAATGAATTCTTCTGTTGAAGAAAAATCTGATTTGATGTTGTGCAGAGAAATTCAGGTTTAAAATTTTTTTTAAATAAAGCAAGTTTTTTAGAAAAAACAAACAATTAATGCAGATATAAAACAACATTAAAGACTAAATTCAAACATAACAATTTTTTAAAACCATTTAAATATACAAATAATGATTAGTTTTAATATATTTTTTAAATATGAACTTGTTAACTTTTAAATGTTTAAGGTAAATTATTTTAAAAATTAAGATATGAGACATTTTTATCAAATTAAAATTCATGCACACATGCTTGAAAAAAATCTAGTAAAGGCATTACACCACTCACACACAAAAAAGATTTTTTCATATTTATGTAAACATGATTCAAAAGCAACTAATTTGAGAAAAAATTATAAAATTGAAACGCAAAGATTAATAAACACAACAATGCAAATACATTAAAAAAATTTTTTTTTAATTTTCTTAAGGTTTAATATGTTTTTTCCTTTAAAAAAATAATGTAAAAAGTATTTACTAAAAAAGTTAATAAAAAATTATAACTATAATAAATAAAATTTTCTTTTACAAAATATTTAAAAATGTTTAAAAAACATTTAAAATCTCTAAAGATTTACCAAGACATTTAATCCTTTAAAAAAAAATTATAACAAAAACTAGTTAGAAAAAAAGTTAACAAAAAATTATAACTATAATAAATAAATCCTTCTTTTATATAATATTGCAAAATGTTTAAATAAAAATGAAATTCTTAATAAGGTGAGACATGTTTGAGTTATCAAATGCAATAATTAATCTTCACCAATGAGTGGCATAAATTTAAAAAATTTGAAGATTGATAATAAAACTGTACACGACTTTCTTTTAACTAATTTGTAAGATTTATCCTAAGTTATGATTTATTCTGAGTTTATCAGTTCAGTTTCTTGCTCAAATAATGTTACAAAACGAATATAAACACAACTTGACGACAATCGAGATTCTGCATCATAATCCCAGCATTCACTAATGGTTTTGCAAATTTTACTAATTAGCTAAAAATAAATTAACTTATTTACATAGCATTTATTTATATCATACATATTTACATATTAAGTTAAAATTCTATAATACAAAGACTGTGATTAGAATATCTAAAAATGACATTTTGCAGTTTAGAAAAAGTACAGAAACACTATGATTAGATAAGTATGTATCAGCTGAAATTAATAAAAAAAATAAACAACACTGTAACCTGTATCTTCAAAATAAACAATCAAACTTTTAATTTAGGGGAAAGATTTGGATCAAATTTTAAGACAATTTTGTGAATTAATCAATTACATTAAAATAAAATTTATACTTTAACATATACTACATCATTTAAAAAAATGATGTCTAAATTTAAAAAAATGTTTTTTTTAATTACTTGAGAATTCCCTCTTTTTGCTCTAAACTCCTGATGCCCTTACAACCTAATAACTCTAACTTCATAGGTCACTTCAAGACTCCATATCAGTAAGAAAGTTCGGAAATTATTTTGTAAAATTTTGTTGAAAAAAATTTGACTCTTTTTTTTTTTTAATTATCTTCGCTTCCAACAAGGCAGCAAGCAACCACTAATTAGTGTTGGAAGTTACTGGAAGAGAAAAGATGAAGATTGTAGAGCAAGATAATGATTGACAGACGACTTAAAAGATTGCAAATTATATGAATCAGGAAAGCAAAATGAAGAAAGCGAATTCCAAAGAACTGATGTTCGAGGAAAAAAACTAGACGAATAAGAGTTTTTGGAGCACTTAGGAACAGTAACAGAAAAAGGATGAGACTTAATTGAATGACAAGTAACACGAGAATGAATTTTAGTAGATGGCACAAGAGATGCTAGCTCTTTAGAGCAGTGCCCTTTATAGTATTTGTAGAAAAGAGGAAGAGAAGCAACATTACAACGATGTCACAGAGGTTGAAGGTTGGCTGCAAGAGCAGGTCCAACTATGTTTACAATGCGTTTTTGCACCTTGTCTAAAAGAGAAAGGGCATCATTAGAAGATCCGCCCCAGATATGGCAACAGTATTCCATACAAGGCCGGATTTGAGATTTATAGAGATAGAGAATAGAATCCAGAGTAAGAAAGTGACGAGCTCGATAAAGAGAAGCAACTTTAGCAGATGCTAGTTTTGCAACGGATTTGATATAAGGTTTCCAAGAAAGATCAGAAGTAAGAGTTAATCCTAGAAGATGAAGGGTAGGAGACTCATCGAGTACATTACCGCTCATAAATATAGGAAGGTCTAAATTATTGCCATAACGATTGGCTGAAAACAATTGAGTTTTATCTGAATTAAAGTTCACCAGCCACTGTGAGCCCTATGCTGTAGCAGAAGTGAGATCCTTTTCAAGCTCAGATGCCCCCTGCAAGCAATCAGAGGGAGTTGGCTTTTTATCGTGACAAGAATAAATGGTAGTATCATCAGCGAACAATGCCACCTTAGATGTGAAAATATCTGGAAGATCGTTAATGTATCGTTAATGTACTCGGAGAAGATTAAGAACTAAAAAGTGTAGTTCATGAATCCAGGGCTCAATTTTAAAAATTAATAAACACTAAACAATTGTGGAACTTCAGAGAAATTGGGTTTAACAAATCTGGGTAAAAAATGGGTATGACTGGGTAATGGTAAATGGAAATGACTGGGTAACAAATCTGGGTAAAAAAAAAAAGGGTTTTGAACTCTGGAGTGCAAATCAAGAGCTTAAAACAATAGCATCCTAAGTACCATGTTATTTCCAAAATTTAATAATGGTCATTGTTTTTAATCTTTATTAGTTTTTCTTTTAAAGATCATGTGTTCTTTAAAAGATCATGTGATCTTTTAAAGATTTTAAAGACCTTAGGAAGTAATAGTGTAACTGGTTTTTAAAGTGAAAATGTAAGCAAAGTTTATAATAAAACCATGCATGTTGTTTTTTCAAACTGCTGTGGACCATTGATTTGAAACTAAAAGTTAGAGAAGCAATGCAACCTTTAGTTTTTGAGCTTTGAGTAAAATATACAGGTATGTTTAAAAACGCCAAAAGGCATACTTTGGAACCAGCAAAAATGCTAAAAGGAATAGTTCGGAACATAAGAGCTAACTAGTGTGCTGCTAAGTTCTTGATTATCAATAGCCTATAAAAGTTGTATATATTTAAACCTAGGTTCCACAGTATTTTAGTGCATTAAAACTTTTCTTAATAAACTCTGCTATAACAGTGTTTCCTTAAAAATTAGTCATATAAATAAGCTACTCATGTTAAAGAAATTGCAAATGAAAAACAGCGTTTTATATCTAATATCTCATCTCTTATTCATTCTGACAAAAAAAACAATATATTGAAAGTGAAAACACATTAGAGTATTAATGCAAAAATAAAATCAATCAGAATCTATATTCTACTACTACCTTGTAATGTGTTTTTTTTTTCAATTGCTTTGTCATATTGTTATTGTACATTTCTTTGTAAAACCAGTTATTTTTTCAGTCATTTTGTTATTCTATCTACTATTTTTTGCATTTAAATTTAAACTTATTTTAGGTTTCAAATTTCATATGAAAACTTTTTAGTGTTTGAAAGTTATGACCATTTGAAATTTCAACCCTCCCAAAATAAAGGTTTTAATAATTTTTACATGGCCATTAATTTCAATAGCTAAAAGATTATTAGATTAAATTTGAAATCTGTCAATAAATTTAAATTTAGTATAAGATAATTACATTTGGTGTGTATGTATATATATATATATATATATATATATATATATATATATATATATATATATATATATATATATATATATATATATATATATATATATATATATATATATATATATATATATATATATATATATATATATATTAGGGTGTGACATCTGCCCCCTATTTTCTAAAAAAAGATCTGTTCATATTCTTAAAACCTTCTATTGGTTCTCACAAGCAACTTTATTAAATTTTTTCAAATTTTTATTGGATTTATGGGGAGCACCAGACCCTTGAACACTTACCATGCCCCTAATATTATATAAAAAAAAGTTTTTCAAAAGTATGTCATGTTGGGTCTCAAAAGAAGCGAAACTATATAAAAATTTTAAAAATAACAATCATTGCTTGTGAAAACCAATAGAAAGTTTTAAGAACATAAACAGATTTTTTTTAGAATATAGGGGGCAGATATCACACCCAAATATATATATATATATATATATATATATATATATATATATATATATATATATATATATATATATATATATATATATATATATATATATATACATATATATATATATATATATTTTGTATATATATATATATATATATATATATATATATATATATATATATATATATATATATATATATATATATATATATATATATATATATTGCCCAATCATAATGTAGCTAAAAAATATTGCTAAAAACTTTGGTTAGAAAGTCCAAAAAAAAACGGTTTTCACTCATGTTAAAAAACACTCATGTTAAAAAAATAGGTTTTCTACACATGTTAAAAAAAAAAGATTTTAAGCTGTAATTAATAATTGCTTGAATAGTGTAAAGTATTGCTTCTCAGTACTGACTGATGATTTGGAGGACAACTCTTACTTATTTTGCCAGATAAAAATAACTGATGTTTGGTCACCCTCATTAGATTGATGGTTAGCCACCCTCATTATATTTATGGTTGACCACCCTCATTAAATTGATATTTCAGCAGTCCAGAGTAGTTCCAGCATCCTGCATTAAATTTGAGCCTTTTTTCTGGACTATAATAGTTTAAAAAAAAATTCCAAAGAAAATTTTTTTTTAAGCTAATATAACAGAGATAAAACTAATACAGTCCAGAGATAAAACTAATATAGTCCAGAGATAAAACTAATGTAGTCCAGAGATAAAACAAATGTAGTCCAGAGATAAAACTAATTTAGTCCAGAGATAAACTCATCTTAAGTTAAAAAAAACAACAATTACACTGAAAAAAAAAAATCTTTTAATAATAAATTATTTCACTCACAGGATGTCTGATCCAATTGCTCTGAAAACATGGTCTCATTTTTTTAACACAAACACAATTTAGCATATCATCTATAGATGGCTTAACACCTACCATATCTTGGAATGGTGGTATATAATCATTCACTGACTCTGACCAAAATAAAACAAAGTTAAAAAAGCAAATCTTAATATCATGTAGTAATTTAAATAATTACTGCAAAAATCATTAAAATAAAAATTATATTAACATAATTCAAAATACAAAATATTCAATAATATCTTATAAGCAAAAAATATTTATAACACGATTTAAAAAAATGAGTACTCTTACCTTCATCAATGCTACACCTTGATAATATTTCCCATAAAACTAGTGCAAATGCATACATATCAATAAATAATAGAGAATCAGTTAGGAAGCTGATTGATCCTTCAAGCATTTCAGGTGCCATGTATCTTTTTGTTCCAACCTAAAATAAAATTTCAATTTATGCCTAATCATCCTAATAGTACCTTGCCATTTGTTTTCAGTTAAACTATGAGTTTTTCACTTGTCATACTATTAATGCTATATGTTTAAAAAATGGAGGACTCCATTCCAAGTGAGCGTCTTGTTTGGACTCCCACTTTATCAGGTAGAGATAACGGTCTAAATATAATCCTTTATCTACACTTGATACAGAGCTGAGTCCAAACATAACTCCACTAAATAACTTGCGAATAACTTGATGTTGCAGAAAAATTATAATTTTAATTTTAGAAGATGGCCAAGGATCATCTCAGGCATCTGTTAACATATTGTATAATTTCGCTAGCCCAGTTACTTCAGAATCTTTTGAAGCATCAAGCATTTCTGGTGTCTTTGGGAGAAGTTAATCTAGTTCAACATCAATCCCATATAAAAAATAAATAAATAGAAAACTACATATTAAGAACAAGCTCAGATCAAAAGAATGTTTTCGACTTGCCAATTATTGTTATTGCCAATTATTGCAATTTGCCAATTTTTTTTTACATGCAATATTCCATTTAATGCTGAAGAGAATAAAGAACTTAAAAAATTTGTGAATATTTTGAGACTTGTTTGATCCCTCAAACCAAAAGAAACTTACAGTAAAGTTACTGTATAAAGTATACAAGATGGTTGGAGTGTCAGAAATAACCCAATTATTGCTTATAGTATACATAATGGAAAGACACCATATTTAATCTCCACTATAGATGCAGAAAAAAAAAACTTAGAAATATTGTGCTAAATTAGCTATTCAAGCAATAAAGCACTTCAAGAAGGTTTGTGAGCAGAATGTAAGTATAATAATACTGTACTGTATTAAAGTATTTACTTTAATTTAAATAAACTTAAAATATAAGAATATTTGTCTACTTCCAACAGGTGTTTTTTGTGCATTTATGCAGATACAAAATAAAAAAGATGAAAGAAGTTCTTAATGAGAAACATCCACTATTACTTACATATGGATGCTTACATATTACCAAATTTCCTGGCAATTTAATTGAATTTAGTAAATATTTCCAAAATCATAACCAACCACATGTGAGTAAATATTGTTTATAATATATTATTTTATTGCCCTTTATATATATTTTAACTTTTTTCATCCTATTCAGTGAATTTATGTTAATATATCAACTAATTGAACTAGTTCTTAATTTCAGGGATTGCTTTTGGATGATAGGAATGGAGTTATGCCACAATTTTCTAAAGCTACACATTGGAGCTCTTAAGTAGACTCTTTAATGTGATATTATAGACAATTATAAAATATTATAGACAATTAAACTAATTAGAAGTGTTTTGTTACTTCATTGAAAAGCGTTTTGATAATATAAAAGCATTTAAGATCAAACTTATTTAATTGTAACGACTTTCTAAAACTTTTTTTTTTTCAAAGAAATTTTGTTTATCTTTTTAAATGTATTAACTTTAATTATTCTTATATTAAAATTCATTAAAGAGACATTCGTAGTCGTAGAATGTCATCGTTTATAAAAACAAAACAATTTTTTATTTTTTAATAACGTTTATTAGAGAAATGCACACTTAAACAATTTATATGTTATAAATTAAAAAAATATATATATATTTTTTTTTTATATATAACTGTCAATTATAAATATAAAAAAAAAAAAAAAAAAAAAAAACATCAGTAAATTATTACTTTACTTAAAAGTGTTTCGCAAATATGAAAACATTTGTTAAGAAGTTTTGATGTAATTAATTTTACTTTTTTAGAATATTTTTCATTAAGCGCATTTTTAAAATGTTTTTAGAATTAGCTGCGATCAAATTGTCATAGCAAAATGTAATTTGTCTTTATTCCGCTTTATTCACAAAATCAAAATTTTAACAAAACCTGATTAAAAACTTGAATATTGGTTGTGTAACAGAAATTTTTTGTTTCAAATAAGTAAAAAAAAGAAAAAAATTTTAAAATATCAAACAAAAATTTAGCATCAGTAACAGTATCCAATAGCAACAAGGAAGAAAATTTCAAAAACTTTAAACTTTATTTGATCATGTTTTACATTTTTTTAGATAAATATATTTTAGACCTTGCAAAGTCCTGAAATTTTTTGCTTGGATAAAATAGTTTTTGGATAAATATTAAAATCTTGAAACAAATGCAAAAACCTGTTAGAAATGTTAAAACATTGCTTGATGCTCATTAGAGCATTATCTTTAAAGCACCAAACATCAATATTATAGATATTAGGCAAAAGTAAAAACAAGTGAGCCTTGACATAAATATTAGGGTAGTTATTTTTCTTAAAATATGGCTTCCCTTAATATTTACATAAGTAAAAAATAGGGAATGTTTCTTTTTACCTATGCAAGTAAAAACACATAGCTTCATTGCTTTTTTAAAATTTATCTTTTTTTTTTAATCATTTTTTCTGAAGTATTCTGGGCACACTTTCACTATGTGTTTTTACTTGTTATACATACATGTATAAGAATATATATATATATATATATATATATATATATATATATATATATATATATATATATATATATATATATATACATATATATATTCCTATATTGGTATCAATTGTGGTAAAAAAATATGACTATACACAACTCTTTGTCTTAAAAAATGACAAAATTAAGTAAAATCCATTAAATTTAATGAAACTAATTAAATTTTATAGTTTTTTAAAAAAACACAAAAACCCAACTTAATAGACCAGAATATTTTTTATTTTTTTAATAAAAATAAAAATATTCTGAATGTTTTTAATTTTTTTATTGTTTACGTACATCAACTGACAAATGGGTAGAACATGAGAAGAGTGCTGCTACATTGACTGACAAATGGGTAGAACATGCAAGGAGTGCTGGTACATTGACAGAAGATTTTGGTTTGGGGAGATCTATCAATTAAAAAAAAATTTTTTTTAATTTTTTACGATTTTTTAAAATAATTTAAAAATTTTTTTTGTTAATTTTATGGTAGATAAACACAGACTTTTAGCTATATCAACATATGAAGTGATTATTACCTGAACTTTAGCATGTTTACTATCAAAATACTTGCCATCAAAAACTAGAGATAATCCAAAATCGCTAATGCATAAACTTAAATCATCCTTCACCAAAATATTTTTGCTTTTAATATCTCGATGAGCAATTGCAGGTTTATGTCCAAGTTTTGAATGTAAATATTTTAAACCATCAGTGAAACACATAAAAAACTTCTTTAAAATAGGTAAACTAATGACATTTAGTTTCAAAAATTTTTTAAGTGAACCATTTTTATGATACTCTGTTACAATCCAGTGTTGGATACAGCTATTTTCAATATGTTTTTTAGCTAAATAAAATTTTAAAATGTTTTCATTTGGTATTTTGAATAAAGAGTACACTTTGACTTCATTTTCCCAAGAATCAAAATCGGTTTTTGGAATAATTTTAACAGCAACATATTCAACACCATAAATTCCCTTCCATACTGCACTAAGTGGTCCATGAGCTATTAATTCTTGTAGTTTTATCAATTTGTCTTGTTTTGATATCAATTGACAAGGGGAAAGTGGTGCAATGAGCGATTGTTGAACAATAACATTTCTTTTACGTTTCCTCCGGAAATGTTTAATTACAATAAGTGCTGCAAGTATGCCAAAAAATGGTATAAAAATGTATCCGATAAAATTATACGATTTTTTCTGGAAACTCTTATAGTTGATTTGGATAACATTACTAGTTGTATTGGGTGCTAAAAGAAAAGCAATTTAAAATAAGATTTTAAAACAAAATTTCAATCATTAAAAAAAAGTTTTAAATAAAATAACACAAAATTAAAAAGGACATAGATACTTGGTTGAATTGAAACTGGGACAAAACCTAAGCTGTCATCAAATACACTATGTTTATTACACAGGTTTCCATTACAGCAACACATATATGAAATTTCATCCCCACGATTTTCTGTTTTACATTGAGCTTTTGCATCACAAAAATCACCACATCCAGATAAAAAAGGCTCAAAAACACCATTCTTTTTATTAAAAAGAACAAAGCATACATTTTTAACACATTTTTCATAAACTGAACAAGTAGTCAGATTCACACAATGATTCTCCTTGCTCAAGTGAACACAACACTGATCAGAGCAGTTATTCAGAATATTATTAATGCTCCTTGGGTAACCTGGTAAAATATTCACAAATCATTATGTCAAAATAAATATTTTTTAACTTGCAATAAAAACTCTTGACTGCATTTTATATATCCAACATAATTTTACATAAGTTAACAGAATGACTAATAATTTCATATAAAATTCTAAAATAAAAAAATTAATAGAGGACTTTATAAAACTTTTCCTTCACCTTACATAATATTTATTTTTTCATGGCTGTTTAATTAAATGTGTTCTCATGTCGTGTTATAATATATATATATATATATATATATATATATATATATATATATATATATATATATATATATATATATATATATATATATATATACATATATATATATATATATATATTATAACACGACATGATATATATATATATATATATATATATATATATATATATATATATATATATATATATATATATATATATATATATACACAGGACCTGAAATAACAAACTTTTTTCTACCGGACTATTTGTCCGGTAAAGAATCAAGTTTTCCAGACATGTCCAATAAAAATTTAAAAAGTGCGATTGAACACATTTCCTGAATAGGGGAGATCGGGGCTAGTTGTTTTTACTCTATGAGCTCTGTAGTCCTAACGGAACATTTTTTTGAAAATATAAAAGTGTAGTTTCAAAGAGTATGAATTTGGGTAACTTATAAAAGTTGCATTCATTTACAAAAAAAATATTTTGGGACCTTTCTGGGCCCTCAAAAAAAAAAAAATGCGCCAACTAACCCCACCCTGGGGTAAGTTGCTTATACTCAAGGGGTAAGTTGACTTGCAATAATAAAAGCTAAAGTTAAAGGTCCTATTTAAGTGTATTCCAATAATATTTTAACCCCTCACCTCTTTTTTTTAAAGGAATCATAGCTGAAATATACTTTTACCAATATCATCAAACTTTTGGATCAAGTCATTATAACATTTTAAGCAATAGAAAGTAAATATAATTAAAAAATACAGTGACAAAGCAAAACAGTGTTCCCAATTTATGGTTATACAATAAGAATTAAAACTTATATTGTTTTATTACATGAATATTTTTAACTAATGGAGTTTCAAATTGGCTAGCAGCAATTATTGCAAATGAAAAACAAAGATTTTCCAATTATACATGACTCATGAGCCCAAAGGTGACATTGGGTGCATTGAACCCAAACTTCCTCTTTTAGAAAACATTCCAACACAAACCAAACAAAAACACTTCTCTTCAACAGAGCTATTTGGACAATTCAAACTTTTGACCATTAAGTGTAAACTTTCTTTACTATTTGATCTTTTACTCATCTTAATATTATCTTCATTTAACTTTTTTGCTAGTTTTCTCTCTTCAATTGCTAACTTTTTCTTTTTAGCTGATTCATTTCTCTATTTTTAAAACATTCATTTTGGTGAATCTGTTAAATTTGATGTGGTTTTACTTCTTTTATTAGCCCTAACTCTTTTTCTTGATTCAGCTTTTTTGAATGGTCTTAAATCTTCAGGCGATAGAACTACAGTTGACTCAGTAGATGCACTGTGTACATCATTACTGCTTGAATGTGAAATATCTTGACGTGGTTCTATATCTTTTGAGCAACCAGCATTTAACATGTCATTCTCAGATATTGTTAAGTCAACATCCGTTACATTACTTATATTTAGCCTGTACTTTCCACAGCACAGTCTTGTTTTGGAGGTGGTCTATCTGTGGTATAGGCTGGCATAAAATTGTGTTCACCAAAAATGTTAACATTTAGTGGGTAAATTCCTATTTTTGCAAAACCAGCCTTAATATTATTAGGGGTACATGCTAATGGAAATGAGTTACCCACAATACCTGGTATACTGTGAATAGACATTGTGGAACCAGGTTGCATTGTCATCCACGCATCGCAAGCTGTGTTTGTGTATTTTTTAAAAGGTCCAAATACACTTCGATCTAGAGGTTGAAGTTTATGGCTGCAATGAGGAGAAAATGAACAAACCGATACCCCATTTTCTTTAAAGTAATCTAAAGCCTCTACTGAAATATGAGAGTCATGATTGTCTAATAGCAACAAAACAGGTCGTTCTTTTGTACTTCTGGCATATTTGACAAAATGATGGGAAAACTGCAAAAAATGAACTTCAGTCATCCAACCAGATGCGTTTGCAGGGCCTGCACTTCCATCAGGAGCACCATTTAAAAAATAACTTTTAAATTTGACACAAGGAAATATGAAAAATGGAGGAATTGAATTTCTACTGGCAGAAACAGCAACTGCCACAGTTACTAAATTGCCTCTCTCAGCCGAAGTAACACACCCAATTTGTTTAAAACCCTTTCTTGCTACAATATGATCTGGAGTTTGAACTGTGGTAATACCAGTATCATCCATATTCCAAATATCTCCACTTTAAACGATTAAGAATAGTTTGTAAATTGTTGTAAAACTTTGAACATTTGTTGGATTAAAACTGGAAACACGTGCTTGACTTGTTGCCTCAGGTTTTCTTATTGACTGTTTTTTGTGCCTTTTGAGGTAAGCGCACTGAACCAGTCTTCTCTAGCTGCTTCATTTGCACTCCAATTATGAGGCATTTTTATGCTATTCGCTTTTCCATACTGATAAGCTAGTTTCCTCACTTCCTTAGGAGAAAGCCCATAATAAATATCAGAAGCTTTAGTCACATATTGTTCCAACAGACCTTCTTGTAAATCAGTAAAAACCTAAATAAACAATATCAATATTAAAACAAATAACACTATATATATATGCACACACGTGTGTGTGCATATATATATATATATGTGTGTGTGTGTGTGTATGTGTGTGTGTGTGTGTGTGTGTGTGTGTGTGTGTGTGTGTGTGTGTGTGTGTGTGTGTGTGTGTGTATTACATACATATATATATGTGTGTTATAACACACACACACATATATGTATGTGTGTGTGTGTTATAACACACATATATATATGTGTGTGTATATAACACATACTAATATATATTAGTATGTGTTATACACACACATTGTATTAGTATGTGTTATAACACATACTAATACACAGTTATAAAATACAACTTGTATCTTTTTTAAGATCATTGAGCACTCTATTTGTAAATAATAACACTAACATAACTTTTATATACAATATATATATATATATATATATATATATATATATATATATATATATATATATATATATATATATATATATATTTATATATATATATATATATATATATATATACTGACCTGTCTAGATTTTATGTAACCTGATATTTGCTGACCATGAAGTTGCTACTTTTTGCAGTATCGGGACAAACTTTTTTCAGGGATATTAAAGTCTTTGGCTGTTTTTCGTATAGTATTTCCTTCTAATAAAACAGCATTTTTTATAACATTTTGAGGAGTTATAGCCCTCTTTGTTTTTCTTTTATAGTTTTGCACGTAATATATGTGATCTATCTAATCGATTTTTAAAAAAATAAATCAAAAGTTATAGAAAAAGTTGAAATTTATGTCCAATCGCAACTGGGTTTAGTTGATATATACGGCCAACTTGTCCTGCCAAAATTTTGCCAACTAACCCCGACAGCTATTTGGTCACAAACTCATCTACCGATCCCTGAAAAACGTATATAAATAAAAAATAATGGTTGGGCAGATTTTACTGAACCATGCAAGATATAACTGAAATCAAGTTTACATGTACTTGATGAAATTGCTTTTAAAAATCGAAAAAATAAAGAAGTTGTAAAAGTTACAAAAATGTGCTAAAAACACATAAATCACAATATCTTTTATGCGCATGCACAAATCCCCACAATACTACAGTGAAAGATGAAATGGTCAAATAAGAAGGTTTCCTGAAATTATTGGCACTTTTTGATGAAAGACTTAGCAGATAAACGCAATTCGTCAACTTACCCCTGCTGCCAACTAGCCCCGGTCTCCCCTACGCCTAAAAAGTTTTGTTTTTACAACTTGACCACGCAATTTGTATTGACAGCTCTAGGCGTTTCAAAATGCTCTGAAAATAAAAAGAAAATTTGTAAATAAATTATCTATCAAAAAGAAAATCTTAAAGATATAGAAAAATCTAAGCTCAAAAAACTAAAATTTAAAAAGGAAAAATAAAGTTACAAATTAATTCTAATGTTTACGATAAACACATTTTATTTAATTTATCAAAGTATAATATAGGTATTTACATTTATATAAATATGTACCTTTTTTATAAATTTTTTAAAAACTTTTTCTAGGATTAATTTTGTTAACACTTTTGATAACTTTTAAAAACTTTTAGCGTGAAAACAAACGTTATGTAACAACTCAAATTTAATAGTGTAATTAAAAGTATTGGTTTCTATAAGCATTAAAATAACTATAACATTAAAATTTTTATAAAACAAATTTAAAAGGGATTTTGAAAGCTAAAATTATTTATAGAGATAGAGAATAGAATCCAGAGTAAGAAAGTAATGAGCTCGATAAAGAGAAGCAACTTTAGCAGATGCTAATTTTGCAACGGATTTGATATATGGTTTCCAAGAAAGATCAGAAGTAACAGTTAATCCTAGAAGATGAAGGGTAGGAGACTTATCTAGTACATAACCGTTGATAAAAATAGGAAGGTCTAAATTATTGCGATAACGATTGGCTAAAAAAAACTGAGTTTTATCTGAATTAAAGTTCACCAGCCACTGTGAGCCTCACGCTGTAGCAGAAGTGAGATCCTTTTCAAGGTCATATGCCCCTTGCAAGTAATCAGAAGGAGTTGGCTTCTTATCGTGACAAGAATAAATGGTAGTATCATCAGCGAACAATGCCACCTTAGATGTGAGAATATCTGGAAGATCGTTAATGTAAATTAAAAAGAGTATAGGGCCAAGGATTGAACCTTGAGGAACCCTGAGGTTACAGAATAAGAAGAAGAGTGCTGTCCATCGAGGACAACTTTTATACTACAATTGGAAAGGAAGGATTCAATAATTTTTGAAATAAAATTTAAACAAATAATTTTCACCAACATTAACATATATTCATATTTTTTTAGTTAAAAGGAACACAGGAAAAAGATAGTTCTTTAAATGCCAAGAGTAAAAAAGTACTGCAGATGGGTTTTTTTAGACTAGCTTCTGGCGTATCAGAGTTTTACGGAACCCAATTATCCAATCAAAATGTGTTATGTTTTCCCAGTTTTTTTTTTTTTTTTTTTTTAATATTCAGAATTTTTATCATCGTTGATCTTTGTATTTTAAATGAAATTTAAAATACTGCTGACTTAGTAAAGCCGATTACCAAACAATTCGCATTGAGCAGTTTCTAAAGGAAACAAATTGTATCCAACTTATAATGAAGTAAGGGAAAAAGACTTATGCATAGCTTGTTGTAGAATACAAACTACTGAGTATTCAGCCTCAGTTGATTTACAAAGCCTTATTGACCATACTACATACAGGTTATTAAAAATACTCAATATATCTGTAAAGACTCCTGAGAAATCTATTCTGGTCTTTATACACAAAGTAGGATTCGATGGTTCAACTGGCCAATCATTATACAAACAAAGTACAGAAGACGAGATAAGTATAAGTTATGTCGAGGAATAATCTTTATTTTTATCCTGCATCGTTCCAATTAAACTTTATATTGAAGAATCTGGCGAATCACTATGAAATAATGAAAAACCATCCTCTACAGTTTACTGCCGTCTAGTACAATTTCAATATGTAAAAGAAAGTGCTGAGGTTATTGCGCAAAAATATATTCTCTTTAAGAACAATAACTTGAAACCAATGATCTTTAATTCCTTTGTTATCAAACATAAGTTAGAATGCACAAAGGTTAATGGAAATGTAACTACTATAGTTTCGCCTTTAAGTAATTTCTTTTAACTATGTAGTATTTGTGGACTGACCCTTATGTACTATTTGTGGACTGAAAATTACATACTTTATAGAGAATACATACTTTATAAATAGTTTAGCATTTCTAAACTGCTACTAATCATTCGGCAAAATGTGCATTAATTTTAAATCAACCAATAAAAAATTTTTACCTAAAAAATGCTATTAATTTTTTTGTAAGTTTATTGTTTTATCTTTTATATTTTATTGCTAACAAATTTAAGTTAATTCGCCCCATATAAACAAAACACATGGCTTTTTATTAACTAAAAATATAAAGACCAGATATTGCATTCACAATCACTTAATTCAACGTTTCATATATATATATATTTTATTTTTTCAAAAAAGAAAACTTTGACAAGTAAGAAAAAAGAAGTTTATAATAAACAAGTTTATGATTATTATGAAAACTCATTTAATTAAGAATTCAATTAGCAAAAAAATTACAATACTTAACATTAATTGCCTAATAAAACATTCAAACTATGCATTTTTAGAATGTTTAATAAGTATCCAAACAAAATTTTAAATATTAAACATTAGATTTTAAATATTTTCCAAGTAATTAAATTTTTTATTTTTTAATATCATGTTGGACCACCTTAAGCTTTGATGACTTCTGCAAGTTGATCAGCTAATTTATTTGTCATTATAGTTTGGCGCATTAGAGGCAATCTCCAGGCTTGGACAGGAATGGTATGCAATCAAACACAACTGCTGATCACACAAATGATTTTTTTTGTTGACAACTTGACCAAGACTGTTTAGATGTTTTGATGATTTCAACATTTCAGAAATGCGCTGAAAAAAGAAATACTAAGCTTAACTAAAACTGAAAAAACTGAAAAAAAATCAACAATTCCTTATGAAAAAGAAAATATATAAGCTTTAAAATAAAACTTAAAAAACTCAAACTCGAAGCAAAATATACTTTTTGTTACATTTTTTAATTGCGTTTAAAATAAATTACTTTAATATTTATCTTTTAAAACATTTTATTTAAGTTCCCATTCACAATGGAATTAAATCATTCAATTGAGATAGGAAGATTTAATTTATCTTATTCATAATTTAAAGCAACTTAAAAAAACAATTTTTCAGAAGATTTTTAGAAAGACATAGAAAAATAGTTTTAAACATTTGTATTTATCATAAAAAATACATTCCAACATAAAAAAAATTTAAATATTATATTTTTTGTTAATTTACACAAACTTCGTTTATTTTAAACAATTGTTATAATTTATTCTGTACTTTATTTAAGCTTTCGTGTTAAATAAAAACTTTAGTAAAGATTAACAATTAAAGGTTACTTATAACATAATGATTTTTTTATTGCATTTAAATTGTTAAAACATCAAAACGGTTGTGGTCAAATTTTAAAGAAAAAAAGTTATCTGTCCAAGCCTGAACCTCATATTATTTATCTCAGAATATACCTGTAGATGTAATTCACTTAGACTTTACAAAAGCATTTTGTTTGGTGCTTTATAAAAGATTACTAATAAAACTTAAATGTTATGGGATTTCTGGTACATTGTCAACCCTTTCACGTCGATGACACATATACGTGCACCTATAATATACCAATCAAAGTATCTCTCTAAAATATACCAATCAAAGTATCTGACTAAAAGTTATTGTTTAACCCTATTTAGTCTTTGATATTAACATTTTGTTTTCATATGAACTGAGCATATGAGAGTAGGAACCATTAATTTACGAATTGTTTTCATGTTTAAAACACTAAATATAATTGACAAAAATATATGTAATTGTTAGACTTTTCTTATTCCGGATGGCTTTGAGAAGTAGATTTATAAATGATCCAAATGAAGCTCTTCAAATCCTTGATGAAATGGATGATGCTAGTGATTTTTCTTATAAATCTTCAGAGTCTGATGACAACAAATTCCAAGAAAATAAGACTGTTATTCGTCAACAGCTCCATAGTCACTAAGTTGGTCATCATTATCAGAAATAATTTCATCGTCGTCGTATAAAGATAATGTTAGTTCTGAAGATGCTCCAACAGAAAAAAAAAAGATTTGGACTTTGCTATCAATAATTCAGGAACTAATGATAACAAATGACTCTATACAATAACATTTACTGATAACGATGTTACTATAAATAAGGAAAAAAATATGAGTAAACAACCAACAACTCCAACCATAAAATTAACCTTTATCAAAACAAATAAAAAATTGCAAACCATTAAGACTAAAAAATCTAATGTTAGTAAAGATAACAGAATAGAAAGAAATAAAAAGTTTTATTATTAAATTCTTTGATATTATTCCTTAATGTTATAATTATTATAAATAATAATAATTATTATATTATAAGACAATTAAGGACTATTATTCCATTTATGGCAACACCAGGATTAACATTTAGAAATTCTGCAATACCTAATTTTGATGGCAATATTAAACCAATCCATTTCTTTAAATTGTTTTTCGATAATGCTTTACTTTTTTAATCACTTTTATTCAAGGTTACAACCCTCTCCTATAAAGCATAATATCATATGGGCTGACGTTACGTCAAATGATATCAAAATAATTATAGAAATCTGTTTAGCGATTTCCTCGTACCCATGACTACTCGTAATAAAAAAAATGCTTTTTTTCTGTTCCATCTTTTAGTAATGTCTCGTGATCAAGTTAGACAAATTCACAGTTACCTTCATTTTTGCAAAGAGACAACTGCAATACCAAAATTGTAAAGAAGGTTATGACAAACTTTACAAACACACATAAATACACACACAGATATATATATATATATATATATATATATATATATATATATATATATATATATATATATATATATATATATATATATATATATATATATATATATATATATATATTAACTTAATATAAATAAGTATATAAAAATATATATATAATTTGCCTGGGGATTATTTTTTAACTAACAGAGCATTTTTTTACTGGAATTAACAACCTACTGATGTCGTTAATGCTATTTCTGTGAATTTTTTTAAAGCTAAACTTGACATATGGATTTTAAATAATATAACTATGCTGAATAATGATATAGCTGTCTAAGCCTACTTGGTACACTTGCTGAATTATTGGTCACAGCTCAAATCTAATACTACTACTATTACTATCTGGATTGATTTGAGTCTAGGTTTCTTGGAACATGATCTTTAGCCACCCTTTTGTTCTTAATTGTTGTGTGTCACTTTTTTATTCAGAATAGCCCACAGGTGCTCAATTGGTTTAAAATATGGACTTACAGCCAGCCCTTCAAGTAACTAAATCTGTTTCTAGAATAAAAACTCTTATTTTCTTTGTTGCATGCTTAAGGGTGATGTCTTGCTGAATATAAAATATTTTCCCAATCACACTTTTTTAGGTGAGACCAGAAGATTTTTAATGAGAATGTTGACTCAAACTTTACTATATAATGAGTCCATCATTTCATCAATAAACTCCAGCTTTTCTGTTTCATTCCAAGCCATCAATCCTCAGACCATAATATTGCCTCCATCAAGTTTTAATGTCCTTTGAATATAACTGAGTTTGCTTTATCTTTTTTCCCCATGCTTTTTGAGCTCTGACTTTAAAAAATTAAACTTTGATTCGCCAGTCCACAAAATGTTTTTCCAGAATGATACCTGTATATTTACACATTTTTTAGCAATTGCAAGTCTTTAGTTTTTATGCAAACTTTTGCTTTAGATTTACTATCTTTCAATCGATTTCAATTAGTAGATGCATGCACTTTTATTTTAAAATCTTTTTTAAAAAGATTTGGCGCTTTTTCATATATCCAAATATATATATATATATATATATATATATATATATATATATATATATATATATATATATATATATATATATATATATATATATATATATATATATATATATATATATATATATATATATATATATATAACCCCTATAACATTTTTAGATTTTACATAACGATATGTAACACTGTAACATATCATTATAAGCAAATTTTAACATTACCTTATTTTTACATAACATAATATGTATCATTACATAAATTTAGACTAAATGAAACGTAACATTGTCGCCTATAGTATCATTAATTTTACAACATATATGAATTGGCAGTTAATCTTTAAATGATGTTATTTAGATGTATGCACATATAAATGTATGCACATATAAATACACAAATCCATGCCAATTTCTTTCCATTTTAGACATGTATATCTTGTAGCATAATATTTTTGCTAGAAGGATACACAATGTCTAGAATGTAGAAGATAAAAATTGCATAGGTATTAGTATAAAATATCACTAAACATTATATAGTTTTAAATCTATATATATTGAAATGTTACTTACCCTGACATAAATATCAAAAACCAGTGATCGTTGACTCCCAAAAATATTGACATTAAATGTAAATTTTTGATTGTGGGTTAAGAAAAACTTGTAAAGTGTTATGTTTATTTAAAAACAAAAAAATTATTAACTTTTTAAATTTACAACGCGTTATAACGTAATTGTAATGACAATATTGTAATTAACATTAATATCGAGTCATTTATGACTTATATATATATACTCAGACCCATATATATTGAACGATTTTAGATATAAAACTTGCGTGAGTTTGGAAAAAAAAGGGGGTTGATCACACCCAACAATAACCCTCCCTTTGCGGTACTGGCATGATAAATATACATCATGCCAGTACCGAGTATATATATTTATCATACCAGTATCATACATATATATATATATATATATATATATATATATATATATATATATATATATATATATATATATATATATATATATATATATATATATAAATATATATATATATATATATATATATATATATATATATATATATATATATATATATATATATATATATATATATACTATAGCATATTTATATGCGCAATTGCTCACTTTTTTTGCTAGCCAGTATATATATATATATATATATATATATATATATATATATATATATATATATATATATATATATATATATATATATATATATATATATATATATATATATATATATATATATATATATATATATATATATATATATATACTGGCATGAAAAAAAAAAATTGTTCACTCTTTTTACATCAAAAAGAGCTTTATTAAGTCTAAAGAATTAGCAACTTTTTTTTTGTACAATTAACATAACAATATTGTTCTAATGTTTAGAGAAATATTTTTAAAATGAAAATTAACTTCTTTTTGTACAACTAATAAATTACCTAAATAATACTATAACGGAGACTTTAGAATGATTTCTCTTGAGAACATATCTTATATATTATCCTTTTGCCAAAAGTTTAAGTTAAATTGTTTAAAGTTAATGCGAGTAAACTTCTTAAAACAAAGTTGTTATGTATTAAAATTCAAAATAACATTTCATTAATGAATGAATTTGATTTAAAACAAGTGTTCATACATCGACTAACTTAAATAGGGACAGACATGGTGGAGTGTTCATACATTGACTGACTCAAATAGGGACAGACATAGTTAAGTGTACATGTAGGTACAAAGAGGTATGGCTTAGCCAGGCAGTCAAAAAGAAATAATTTATTAACTTGTAAAAAAGCCTACTTCTTTGCTTAAGTTAAACATGTAAATCTTTAGAAATCTGATGACGGCAGAAATTACTATAATTAGATTAACTGATAAATTTATTATCAGAGTGATTTATTGTCATAATTTCAGCGGCAAATTTTGTAAAAACCAATAC